GTCCACTTGTTCAAAAGACCCGGGGTTCTCTGGTGAAGCGTCCGCGGAATCTCTCAAGCAACAATGGCTCGTACCAGTCTGAGATCGGTAGTCTTTCTTGTGCTCGCGGTAGCAGTAGTTGTTTCCGATGCGCAGTTGCAGCTGTCGGAAACGTTCTATGATGCCACATGTCCACAAGCCGCATCCATCGTCCAACAGAAGGTGAATGCGTTTGTGGATGCCGATCGAGGCCTCGCTGCAGCTTTGATGCGACTTCATTTCCACGATTGCTTCGTCCGGGTACGTCAACTCGTAATGCTAAAAGCAATGCATGCAAACGTATACTTGTTCAAGCGTAAGACTGGAAGACAACCTCAATGCTGACCAGAAGCGCTAAAACTCATCAGCGAACTTTGTATTATTGACGACGTACAGGGTTGCGATGGATCCGTCCTCCTCAATTCTACCGAGTCTATGCTGACCGAGAAAGAAGCATTGCTCAACAAAGGTTCTCTGAGGGGATTCGAGCAGATTGACGAAATAAAGATGGAGCTTGAGTGTGCATGCCCAGGTGTGGTATCTTGTGCCGATATTTTAGCATTGGTCGCCCGAGACGCTACCGCTAAGGTACGAATTCTGATGATGGACTTTGCTAGGAATCTAGCATCACTCATAAAATAGCATATTATATGCAAGCCATATCACCTGATTCAAAAATGCGTGAATGGGTTTTTGAGTGCTCGGAAAGGACAAAGTAGCAGTGGAAAGTATTCATGGAGCACATTGGCCTTTCCAGGTCGGTGGCACTAGCTGGCCCGTGTTTCTGGGCCGTATAGACGGAGGTGCTTCATTCGCAGACGAGGTCAACAGTAGTTTACCTGAACGTACAGACAACTTCACGCAACTCGTCGCCAGGTTCGCCAGAGTTGGACTCGATGCCAGAGACATGGTTATCCTATCAGGTACGACAGAGAACTAGGAAGAGAATGTGCCATGATTTTTTCTAGCTGCAAATATACTTGATTGTTCGTTTTACGAAGAATTTGAAGCACAGCATTTGGGAAATCCACCTTTTAAAGAAAAAGTTCAAAAATATATTTATTCTAATTTAGAAGGCGAAATGCATTGGAGTACAAAAGTACGTCACGCTTCAGGGGACTGGATTGGGAGTAGGACCGATAAAATTCCAAGTGTATACGTCCAATCGAGAGTAGGTTCTTGGAGAGCCGTGTGATGGAAGACTATCAAGCACGGTTCCACGAGAAGGGCTAATCCTTTACTCGACAGATATAGGTACTCTATATTTAATTTTCGGTGCCATTGCTGGAGTAATGGGTCGTGGTCCAGTTGAGAAAAAATCACGTGTGGGCTCCGCATTGGATCGGCTCACAGTGTACCTATTCACAAAGCGGAAAAATCCGAAACCGATCCACGCAGAATGAGACGCAAAATGTCCCTCGGAAGAATAAACGCAAAACACCTTCAAATTCAATTTGTGCTCATGAACACATTGGCATTGATGCAGGAGGACACTCTATTGGACAAGTTCATTGCGGCGCATTTTTCGAGCGCCTCTACAACTTCCAGGGACTCAACATCACCGATCCCGCCATGGACCCTGAGTTTGCTGCTATGCTCAAGGTCCAGTGCCCGCCGACCAAGCCCTTCGGATTCATGGCTCTGGACGCCACCAACGGCACCTTCGACTCCGCGTACTACTTGGACCTGCTCACGAACAAGGGCCTGCTGGAGTCCGACGTGGCGCTCTTGAGCGACCCTCTGGGCGTGGAATATGCCATCAGAGCCGTGCAAGATCCCATGGCCTTCCTGAACGAGTTCGGATGGGCCATGATCAAAATGGGCGCCATTCCTGCACTTGAGCCATATGGCTGGAGAAAACACTGCGCCTTTGTTGAACCCAAATATTAGGCGAGTGATGCATTTTTTAGAAATTTCCATTTGCTGTAAGTAATTTTGGCTCTCGGATCTCAATCCCGGCAGCCTTCAATAATACTGTTATTGCTTTCAGAACTAGGCATTTAGTCTTGAAAGCTGTAAATCTGTGGTGCACCTTGGATCATGTTCCTATATCACATGTGTAGCTATAGGGTCAGAAAACACTTGTGGTGGATGTAGATACAATTGAACTAGATGAATCTCATTCTTTGATTAGTCGGAGGCCAAGCTTGTAACTACTCTTCACTATGAAATATATGCAATAACCATTGATTCTCAGATGATGACTATGGATGCACTTTACAAGGACTGTGAGCGGTAAGATTTGTTTAATTGTTTCAGATCAAGTGAAGTCAAAATGTAGACGTGCAGTTGAAATTGAGGTAAGATTTATAGTTTGGATCAAAACATGATGTCTCAGCAGTTCTCTCGGAAGCGAAGAGAATTCTCTATATATATTCTATGAAGAACTTTCGTCACTTCAGGAAATATAGATAATGATTCTTATCCAGTGAGTAACGTGCAGGACTGGTGGAGAGGAGATTTTGATGTTATACCTGCAACTATTTATCCTTAACGTCGTCGCGTCAAAGAGCCTAACTTGAGCCAAGTAGTAGTTGCAGAATCAAGTGGGGAAATTTGAAGAAATTTCGTCCATCTGAAGAAGAAAGTTTTGAACATCTTATGCAAACCAAATACTAAATTTCAACAGTATTGGACAAATTGAGTTCAATGAACTGCTTTCTTGGATAATCATTTCATTTTCCATTTCTTATATAATCGCCATCTGACTATATGTGATATTCAGTTAAACAAGCTAGGGTAGTTTCCCTGCCAGAAAGAATTGATCATAACTATCCTTGATTCTTGCAATCATAAGAAGTAGTAAGTGGGTTTAAAATTTCAAATAATGAACCAAAGTAATGTATCCTATGATTTGTGTCGCAATGAGTTTCAGATTATTACGGTGAACGCAAAAATTCTATCCAACTAGCGGAGGAAGATACTGTTGCTTGAAGAAGATTGTGCTCATTGCATGTTTTGTACATCTTTGGAATCTGCAAGTTTACTGTAGGATCTATGTAATTTTAGTCGCGGTCAAATTTCAAAAGAGCTCCTGATACAACGCAGTGTGGCAGTTTGGCATCCTGACTACAGAAGAAGTACTCCCGACCGCAATGTGTCAGATAGCTGTGACTGCAATGGCAGATTTTCCTGGCAGCTGTAACTTCGGCTGAGGCCCAATTCTGATGGAAAACTGTTGATCAAGTTTCGCCTACAATCTAGAGAAAGGTTGCTTCTCTTTTCAGTCTCAGCGCGGACTGGAAGCCGGTCTTCCGCATTGTATTCTGGTACTACTTTCTAGCCAGAATATCGCCATCCTTACAATATGCCTCTACGATGTACCTTCACATGTGTTGTTTCATGTGCTGTGCTGATATCTTGGCTGTGGTCTCGCTCGATTCACAGCTAGTAATATGGAAATTTCATCCGTAAGAAACTTATTACAGGAATCTTATTTCCAGCGCAAATGTCTCAAAGCTTATTAACTTCTTAACTTCTGTAGAAAACTTTCAATGTAATTCTTTCTATAAAATGTATCCAATTCTTATTATAATTCTGAAATTTTATGAACGAAACATTGTTAAGTAGGTGAATTATAAGACAGAGTAGTTCAAGAAATTGATGAAATCAAAATACTGCTGGAATGTGCATGCTCAGTTTGCATTGTTTCATGTGACAGTATTGGGCTCTGTTGGCACGCGGTGCAACCCTCAGGTAAACAAGTTCTTTGCGGCGCATTATTCGAATGTCTAAAAATTTCCAAGGTAAGAAAATTACATACCTTCCAATAGACCCAGAATTTGTTGAGAAAGTCTCGGCTCGATATCGTCATACCAGTCGCTTCGGCTTCAGGCCCTTGGACGCGACAAATCGAATTTTCGTCCTCATTTACTATTCAGACAGAATGTTTCACAGAAACGAACTTCTGCACTGCGATGTGAAACTACTGAGAGATCCTCTGGGAGTGGTATAGACCATTATTGCTTTGTAGATACCCCACGAAATTCTGCTAGAGTTCAGGATGTCAATGATAAAGATGGGTAGCATTACAAGAGTTGAGCATCACTGCGGGACAAAGCGTTGCATCTTCACTGAACCAAAGGACTAATGGGTGCCTGCATTTAGTGGGATGCCTTTCAATCTGCAATAAGCATGCTCATGCTCAATGCATTTGAGGAAAATGTTTGAAAAAAATTATCTGAAGAGTTGATTTCTCATCATTCACTGGTGACCCGTAATGGATCACAAGTACACAGGTGCCACACTAGATAGCTCCAAGGCACTTGTGCCCATTGTGCCCGTCATCCTTAATGCACTAACATGGATTGCATTCAGCAGCAGAAGACAAAGTAGATTATGTAACGTACTAAACTGTAAGACAAATCCAAAGCATGCATGCGGAAGAAAGCAGAAGGCGCTTGCACTCCAGCCAAACGAAATTGACATCCCAACCTTCTTGGAAATTTCTTATAATAACCGCGGAGTAAGGTGAACAAAAGCACTCACGTTGGACGTTTCTGAACATATTTACTCTATTCTATGATGTGTCTGCAGTTTCCGACGTCACTTTTGAGTACTTGTGAGCTTTACTATTTGAACAGTAAAAGAATCGGTCTCAAAGGTTCTTGATCATTCCTTGCTAACGAGGATATGAAATCCATAACATCTCTCCGCTCCATTGCTAAGGGATCATGGGTTGCTTCCTGAGAAGGGAGCACACAAGGTGGTTAGATCCATTACCCTTCCTGGATCTGAGGGACACATGTTTGCTAAGTGTGATCACATGTAATTCCAATGACGACACCTAGCTTCCATGGCCGCACTATCAGTTCCCATATTGTATGATAAGCGTCATTACATTCAGTCATGGCCAGCTTGCAGTATTAAAATAATTCATTATTTTTAATATCAGGAAAGAACAAGCACCGCGTGGAGGAGATTATGGAGACCACTTGCAATCCTAAACTCACGTATAAAAGACCAGCGAAAGGAATGACTAATCACAAGTTGGACAAGCTCCATCTGATCTTTGACCTCAATTCTGCTCGTGAGTTTTATCTCCTTGCCGTTGCTTTGTTCAGGCGTATAGGCTGCTTTCGGATCCTGTCAGCTCAGCAAGTCTCAAAGTTTGATTTCTCTTGTGATTTTCTTTTTGTGTCCAGTCTTAGCTATGTTCTGTCGAGCATGCACATCGAATCTTCTTTCTTTCTCTTAACCCCCAAATCATGGCATTGTGCAGGAAGGTGAGTCTGATCAACTTGCGTGATTGGACTGCCTTCGACTGGGTACGAGGTCGAGATCGTCCACTTGTTGACAAGGCCCGGACTGCCTGGGAGGAATTTCGTCGTGATCGCTCTAGCACCAATGGCTTCAACCAGTCCGAGATCGCTCCTCTTGCTTGTGCTAGCGGTGGCAGTAGTTGTTTCTGACGCGCAGTTTCAGCTGTCAGAAACGTTCTATGATGCCACATGTCCACAAGCCGCATCCATAGTCCAACAGAAGGTGGATGCGTTCGTGGATGCCGATCGAGGACTGGCTGCAGCTTTGATGCGACTTCATTTCCACGACTGCTTCGTCCGGGTAAGAGGGATCCACTGTTTTGGAAACCTGGTAGAATCAAGGACCTGTTTATAAGTAATATACCTTTCAATAATTAGAAATGGCGTTCTCCTTTCTGAACGACAGAATTCTGATTGACTTGCAGGGCTGCGATGGGTCCGTCCTTCTCAATTCTACCGACACAATGTTGACTGAGAAAGAAGCATTGCTAAACAAAGGTTCGCTGCGAGGATTCGAGCAGATAGACGAAATAAAGATGGAGCTCGAGTGCGCATGCCCAGGTGTGGTATCTTGTGCCGATATTTTGGCATTGGTTGCCCGAGACGCCACTGCTAAGGTATGTGGTGTGACAATTGGCATTCCCAGGGATCCACTGCTATCGAAACAATATATTACAATTCAAGCACTCAATTCTCAGCTTTGATGTAGAGGCTAACAATGCTTCAGGGCTCGGACACGGTGCATGAGGTTTGTCCTATACCTGCACGAACTTGCACTCCAAGGTATTCAGAAGCAATACGTGATCATTTGCAGGTTGGCGGCACCAGCTGGCCCGTGTTTTTGGGCCGTATAGATGGAGGGGCTTCATTCGCCGATGAGGTCAACAGTAGTTTACCTGAACGTACAGACAACTTCACGCAACTCGTCGCCAGGTTCGCCAGAGTTGGACTCGATGCCAGAGACATGATTATACTATCAGGTAACTTGCTGTGTGCAGAATAATTTTCCGTATGACGCTTCAGCTACAAAATACTAAATTGTTGATGTAATAAAAGATTTGAAGCGCTGAACGCATAAAACTCAATGTTGGAGTGAATATATTCATACATTTTCGTCTCCGACTTGGGCTTTGTCACATTTATACATTCTGGAGAAAAGCTCGATCAACTCTCAAACACATAAAGTACCTCAGATATGCATTCAATGAACGGTCGTAAAGAGGTCGCAGCAAAGCGCGCACACACACTCTTTACTCTTTACTCTTCATATTCACTTGTTTTTCCTGACAACATTCGCTCCACTGCAGGAGGACACTCTATTGGACAAGTTCACTGTGGAGCATTTTTCGAGCGCCTCTACAACTTCCAGGGACTCAACATCACCGATCCCTCGATGGACCCTGAGTTCGCTGCCATGCTCAAGGTCCAGTGCCCTCAGACCACGCCCTTCGGATTCATGGCTCTGGACGCCACCAACGGCACCTTCGACTCCGCGTACTACTTGGACCTGCTCACGAACAAGGGCCTGCTGGAGTCCGACGTGGCGCTCTTGAGCGACCCTCTGGGCGTGGAATACGCCATCAAAGCGGTGCAAGATCCCATGGCCTTCCTGGACGAGTTCGGATGGGCCATGATCAAGATGGGCGCCATTCCTGCGCTCGAGCCCTACGGCTGGAGAAAACACTGCGCCTTCGTTGAACCCAAATATTAGTCGAGTGATGCATTGTTTAGAAAATTCCATTTTCTGTAAGTAATTAAGGCTACCGGATCTCACTCCCGGCGGCCTTCAATAAGATGCTTGTTTCTTTCAGGACAGTGAGTATTGTAGAATCAAGTAGATTAGTCAACAAACATCCGAATCTGTGGTGCGCCTTGGCTTAAGTCCTATGTCATATTTGCAACTATAGGATAACATATCACTAGCGATGGGTGTAGATACAAATGATTTAGATGAATCTCATTCTTTGAATGATCCCGAGGCCAACCTTGTGACTACTCCTTCCTGTGTAATAAATCCATTACCATTGATTCGAAAGGCATGACCTTGTGTTGCAGTTTAGAACTACGCCAATCATCGGAAAGCTAATTTCATTCATAAATGCTAAACAGAAAAACCTTGATCAACGGAATTAAGAATCTAGATGGATAAAGTGACAGAAATACGTATGTCGGCCGGATGTTTCGAGAGGCACGAAGGACATCATGTGTAGTCGGATTTCTGGGTTCTATTGTGCAAGATCAACGTAGACAATTTGATTCTTTTCAAAATGAAGGAATTTCAAGATTTGATGACCCTTAGATTCAATTTATGCACAGGATTGGATATATATGTACACGTAACAGCTATATTGGTCTTTCGCAAGCGGTCGATTGACTTCTGATTCTTTCATGTTTTGAAAATAATTATAAGTGTGGATAATTCAGAAGTCATTCATCTTCATCCATGCCAGAAGTGAGTCATATGTACTCAGCCAACTATCGAAGAGTTTTTATAAGTAACGCCCGAGGCGTAAGCTACGTATGGACGAGACAACTAACTCGTGTTGATATTGCTCGCACAACTGCGAGTAGTAAAGAAAAGCAGCAATTTAAATATATAACAGTAGATCTAGGTTCCACGTTTTTGTTTTACACGATTTTTGCTCCTTGAGAAATTTTTCTCGACGAGATGAGTGAAGTCTGCAAGGAGAAGACATGTGAGATCTACTCGTACAACTAAAGTACATCTTACTGTGTTCAGTTCAATCATGGCTCGTATAGCTTTTTGTCCGATGATGGCTTTAATCATATGAGACAAAACATGAGAAATCTAAAATGCAAAGTAAGTCTTTCTTGTCTCATCCAAATATTTATTAACAGTCACATGGTTGTTCACCCTACAGTGAATACATCTACCATCGTGCCAAATTTCTGTTTCAAAAATGTTTCGAAATCTAATCTGCATCATGAGGTTACTGATAACAGCTCGAGGATCGGTCGTTTTGTTCAATAAGTTGAGGACTGACCACTTGAGTTACACGACAATTAACAAATTGTTTTCGGGATGGCACTTTTTTCGTGGGGCCATCTAAACCGGAAAGTGTTTGTGCAAACCATACCGCGTGGTCAAGGTCAATGTCTCATAAAGATTCTAACAGAGCTTACTTCTACAATCACTGGGCAGCTCCTTCACTACTGTTCTACATTTGACTAATTTCAACGATCCAGCTTTATCTGTTAGACGGTATACATTACAATACAGTTCTTTGCGTACACAGGTAACGGAGCACACGGCTGCTTGCTTTCATGCAACAGGACAAGCATGTTCTGCTTGCGTAATCATGACATGTTCACTTTTAAACCTACGTTCACTTCGTTCTGTTGGTTGAACTATGCTCGTGTTTTGTCCATCATTGTATGTACTCCCTCCATAGACCAATTATAAAGTGATGATTTTAATTATGAAACTTACAAGAGCCTGTTCACGATCAAGAGGAATTTTAAGAAGAAAAATTTTAAGGCAGAGATGCTTTTGGTTGCAGAAAGGGCAAATACAGTGCGTTTTATATTTCGAGCGAAGCGTTCAACCCCTGCAACTTACCGAAGGGTTGCCAACACCAATCCAGATAGGCATGAACAACAAGAGCTGATGTGGAACCAAATACTGCACGTCAAGCATATGAGAATCTTCCCTTAACTTGTTGTATCAGATCCTGAAAATGACACTCATCGAAGTTTTGACTTTTAGGAAGCTGATAGCTGATAGCTACTGAAAGTCACGAAAGTCAATGACTTTCACGAGCTAACAGCTCCTTAATTTCCTGGACGATGTTTTAGAAACTCAATCCTTTTCTACAGTTAGGCTTCTACAAAAAGCCAAATAAGGATACTAAGAACACAGCCTGGAGATGAGTAACCACTTGAGTGACTTTCAAACACTTACTCAAAGTCCACGGGAGATCTGAAGAAGGACAGACTGTGTGAGCCATCTCGAGGTCAACAAGTTGAATAAGTCTAGCATACGACGATTCAAGAAAAATAGTGCAGCGTCACACATGCTTCGTGAATATAGAATCACAAGCTGCAGTGCAATGTGCCTCAGCTAGAGTTGCGTGAATTCACAGGCGAAGCGACTCGGTTCTCAAGGTTTGTGGAATCTCGAGGTTTGTGGAAGGATACCAGGTAAACCGATGAAGGAATATCGTTAGTGTCACATAATGTAATCAAGGGTACACTGATCTCACCAACAAGTTGCATAATAAACTGTAGTTAATTGTAGAGCATGTCCAGGTTTTGGACTGACTAGTATAAATGGACTCGACATAGATCCTCAAACCTGGAAGTAATCAGGTTCATCTTGGGTCTTCATAATCTCCCTTTGCTCCAGATGTCAATCATATTCTCTGTGTCTGAATCACTATTCACCATACACGTAGTCATGTACTTTTTTTCCATTTTCTGCGAGGAACTTGTTCAATTGCTGCAAGTCTCTGGTCAGCTTCATGTCTAAAGTTTCCAATATCTCTTCATAGCGTGCAGAGACATACATTTCTAGTTGTCATTCTACATTTGACTTGGTTCGAGATCTTAAGACTCCATTCAGTAGGAAAAAAAAACGAAAGAACTAATTCAAATGGATCCAGAGGTAGATTTTCTACCAGCATCCAGTTCGACTACAATGGAGAATGGTCGTTTCTTCGTTTATCGTGTTGCTAGTTGCAGCAGTTGTAAATGAGGCGCATCTATCACCTGAAATTTATGGCACTTGAGAAATGTCTCAAGCCACTTTAAGCGGCTTGTGATATTCCTCAAGCCGCTTAAAGTTCCACCAAAAGTTTTTGAATCTCTCCAGGATGACTGAGGAATCGCAGCAACTCTTCTACGCTTGCACTTCCACGATTGGTTCTTCCTAGTAAGTGTTCATACAGTTAAATCCTAAATGCTGGGATCTCTGTTGGACCGATCATGCACAGTCCTCCAGCGCTTTGTGAACGGAACCAACCTAATTATGAGTCGTCATATCATCGGTGGACTAATCTGAATAATTGAAATGATGACACCGAATCTAATATCGGATTGTTTGTGATATCATTCACGATCCTATATCATGCTTCTAGGGTTGTGAGGGAGAGATATGTCCTTCTCAAATCTAAAGATTCTACGTTGATTGAGAAAGAATCATTGCTCAACGATTGTTATTTGAGAGGACTAGAGCAAATTGAAGAAATCGAGATGGAGCTCAGGTCGCAGGAGATGCTACGGTCAAAAAGAGAATCAATTTATCATGTATGTGGTAACGACAATATTACAGAAAGGAAGGCAAAATATAATCATTTCACTTTCTTTGTCAAGAGAAGAAAAGGGACATTGCCAACTTGAAGTGGAAACGAGAGTTTACTCGTAAGGCTTCCTGGAGGGCACTTTCCAGTCTACAATTACTGGGACGTTTTGACCAACAGGGGACTCATGTCACGGATTCAGCTATTTCGAGCGATCCTTTGAATGTAGAATATGCCAGTAAAACTGCGCTGTACCCTTCTAGCTTTATGTTCGACTTTGGAAGGGCAATGTGCAAAATGGGCAACATTCCAACAGCCGATCCGGCTGTTGGAATTCGCGCTGGAGAGAATTCTGCGCCTTCACTGAACCAGAATACGAATGAGTAATGATTTCTGGGACAATGCCCCTCGATCTGCGATCAGCGTGAATCATCGTGCTTGCTGCTTATCACGGCAGATGCTACGAATCATCACCTTTTAAATACATGGTCAAGATAAGATCATATGTACATGTGTTTCATCCGACAAAACAAATGACCTTTAGGATAGGGAGGCTAGCAAAGATAGTGCGCAAGCTAAATAGGGAGCCTGTATTTCTTGCCTGAATCTACTCGATGCTTGAGATCCCTCCTGACGTCAGAACTTTCCCATAATACATATGAACTGCAATGTTTCGGTTGCAGCTGAAGAGGTTTGAACAAATGTTGCGCGAATTCCTCCCTGGCGACATGCCAGCAATGTGTCTATTACCTGAGTGATTTCGGAGCTGTATTGCACTTTCATCGAACGACAGCGGATTTCTAGACCTCGGGTTTTGGTCGCGTTTAGATTACTTGCGCCATAAGCGTGGAATACAGTTCTGAAAGTCTAGGATGTGCTACAGGTCCTCAAACACAATAGGATGGTGGATAGACGACCTAGGAATCAGTGAACGAGAGGAATCAAACACGAAGGTGGAAAACCATGTCACAGTTCCATTAAAGCCCAAATGAAGCTTCGTTAAAAGCACATGGAACATACTTAAAGCGAAAGGGTTCAACCAGATTTGAAAATTCTTAGAGTCAACAACTTGGATTTAGGCCCTGAGAACGATCCAGTCGCAATATTTGTATTCAGAATCTGAGGCTGGGTAGTATTTTAATTCGGCCACTGTTGAATCAAAGAGGCCTTCCGAGAGTTGACTAACTGATTGATCGGAAGTGTGCTGCTGTGAACTTCAGCACTGTTGCAATCTCATGAACAAGGGTACACGGTTATGATTCTTCGAGAGCATATGCCTCTCGGATGGCACAAATAACAGATCTGTCGTTCACTATTCTTCTGATTAATCAGAATGCCTGCTTCGTTAAAAGTCAAAAAGAAACCTCTCAAACCAATATACAAGTCATCCATTCCTCGTTGATGTGTTTTAGACAGGCCAACAAATTTTGCAACTTTTGCGTACAAGAGTACAAGGCAATGCATACGTCAAGACAAGTATGCAGTAGACGCTGACTGTGTGCGCTGAATACATGCTAAACACAAGGGTAATAAACTCAGCGAACTGCTAGGATCGCACTCGCAATACTCTAACATAAAAATCGGGCGATTCAAGCAAGGATAAACATTGACTTTTGCGCCTCCACTCATGCAGACATTTAGTATATAACTTTTTGAAGATATACCGTCTCAAAAAGCCCGGTTGTATTTCAGAATCAGATCTCTTGGATAGGAAAAGAATTCTCAGACTTCTCGTCCACTGGTCTTGTTTAGAGCAAAACATGAGAAAGGCAACAGCACTTCTATCCACGAACATAGTGCGTAATGGAAGAATCGACCGTCTTGTAATAGATATACCCATATAGATCCAACTGTGAGAGAATTGCATCAGTCTGAGCTCATCAAAATTCCGCAAGGCCCACGGGTGCAGCTAGGCTTAAAACGTCAGTGTGATGCAGCCGTACATAGCACTTTTAAAGCTCATATAGAAGAACCACAGCAGCATGTGACAAGCGACGAAATCGAGCACGTATTATGGTGCTCATCAATGGCAATCCGTTGTATCCTCAGTGCATGAATCATCATGCACTTGTCCAACTACTAATATTAAGACAGCATGAACATTTGCTGACAAAATGGTATACAAGAACACCTTCAGATACTGACTGATCAGTGTGTGGCTAATAAAGTACAAAGCCTGCTTGAAATTCGTCGGAGCTACGAGCCTTCGCAGGAACGCACGACAATTCATGAAAAGATTACGGGTATACGATTTACAGAAATCCACCGAAGTAACTTTGAAGGTGACCTCACATCGCACAACCTCGGGAAACTGACAGTGAGAGGGTGCCTCACCGCGTCGAATAGCACAAAAGCTCTTTACTAAATTCAATGTATGAACGCCTGACTAAGGCGTAGGCACTCAAAACAGACAAAATCATCTGACTTTTGAGCAATACAGCAATGAAATACCTGATAATATTCTTGCTCTCATCAAGGTAGTGCGGAAGGTGAACTCACGAGCGATATTCGCTCGCGACCTCATCTGCAGCAAGCATGCCTACTTTCCTCGTTCACGCTACTGTACATCTCAACTTTATTTCAAGAATATTCTCAGGCAAGCCATTGATCAAAGTAGGCTTGCATCTTGTGTCTCTCTGATGCCTTTCCAACGTTTACAGTAGGAATTATTCTCCCGGGTCGTACAAACTATTGATCCACAAAGAGAATAGTTAGTCAAGTGCTGTATTGCAGGACAGGTGACAGCCGTGACCGAAACTGGAAACTGAACTTTCTGTAACCAGTTCTGCCTGACGTTATGAGGTTCATTTCTACCGACCAGACTTCGAAATTTCTTTTAGAAGGATTAAAAAAATACTTCAATGGGAGCTTCTCTATTTCCTCCACCACTCTCCCTCGGACATTAGATGATAAAATCTTCCTCTATCTTGTTTTCCCTCTCTCCATTCAATGCAGCTCGACAACCATCACTCAGCGACCTCAGCACTACCTAACCAGCAGCACGCAAGAACAAGCATAAATCTATACTGTACCTACTATGATCCCTATTTCCAGTGTGGTTAACAATCGTTACTTTTGCCATAAGATATTGTAATCAAGCTAAGTCAGAATTAGATAGTGATCGGCTCACCACCCGTTCTGCAATATAACCTAGTAGAGCATACGGAATGACATACAAAAGCACTAAGTGACATGTCTTGAAATGAAAAGCACGGAGTTCGAACATACCTGTATAAATTCTCTGAGTTCAGTGAAGCTTGAATGCTCACTGTATGGAACACCTGCCAAATATTTAAGAGCAAAATATCCCTTCAGAATTATTAGGAGAATGAAAAGGACAACCCATATCTAATTCTGTATCGTTCCACGCTGGGCAAAGGTGAAATGCACTCATGAGTGTTATATGCCTCATACAGACAACAACCCATAAAGCCATTCATTCTCTTAACAACAAAAACCAGAGTTATCGCTTAACAACACGAAAGGACGAACGAGAAATCCGAAGGAATGTACCGTAAATTGTAACTGGTCCACTACAATGCGGTTTGATCATGTCTAACTTGTCCCCAACTTTTTCTGTGTACGTCCAACCTGCAGTTCATACCCACAACAGATTGAACTACGTTGAGCACAAGACATGATTCGTTTGCCTTGTATCCAAACGAAAACAATATCACATCAACTTGGTACAGAAAAATTTATTACGAACTTCATTCAATAGTAAGCCCAATTGAAGTGAAACTTACCTGTGGGACGGAAGGCTAATACAGCACTGTACTTTTTCGGAGAATAAGTCTGAAGATAGGCTTTCAGTTTCTGCAGATAATACAGTCAATACAGGATTGTCAAATGTGGACGTCCCACTGGGGACAGATTTTATTTTTAAGGGAGTAAAACGTCCTTCGTTTTGATAAAAGACAGCAAAAAACAACAGTATCTAGACCAGGTTTTAGATTACTTTCTGTCGTGTGTGCCATGTGTGTGAGTTTGGAAAGTCTTCACCATAACTACTTGGAGCATCAGAATATGAGATGGAAGTAGTGATAATAAATTGCATACCGGAGGATTCAGATTTGAGAGAGGAAGAACATGTAGGAACGTATCGTCCGGTTGAGTCGAAAGCTTTGATGCTAACTCAGGCCAATCTAAGGATGTCAATATTCTTCTACGTTGACGATCAGCAAACACCTGCACCTGCCGAACATGCGAAGTTAGCTAGAAACATATCAAGCCTTGTACGGGAAGATGCTGTGTGATTCTATTGTAATGCTTGAATGAAGAAAAGTACTTTCAGAGCTTGAAAAATCTGTGCAGATAATGTCTACCTCCTTGAGGATCCTTACTTCTTTGTTGGTGTTATAAGGCAGATGTCATATCAGATCTAAAAGTCCTATTTGCCTGCTCTTTTAAGCAATGGAACATAACATCCTTATATACCAAGCAATTTTGTCTCAACTGCCGATTATGGAGACAGATCTCTACAATCTACTGGTAATCCTCGCCCAATCTTTGAACTAGACTTACTCCAAGTGCTTCGGCGATGCTATGATAAACACGCTCCTTTCCAATGCTGTAAGAACCTACCACCACCAGAGTTTTCTTGTTCCTGACCAAAGCATTGCAAGTCTGCCGGATCACGAACTTTATAACCTCTTCTTGCAGTGGGAATCTGCAATTAGAGATATACCACACTTTATAAGGGCATGTTATGATGCAGTGTGCGTAGGAGCACGCTTAAAGCATAAATTGCAGTTCAATCTGTTTATTCTAAATACAAACCTCTCAAGTAAGTCGCTTATGAGAGATTACATCACACACAAATTTTCCCCATGGTGCTATAATTTTATACCTGTATCTCTGATCGCAATAGGTCGTATCCAAATACACAGTACTGATTCTACTGCTCAAAAGCTCAGGATATTCTTCCATTTTCTTGCAAGCTCGAAAGTCTCCAGTGTGAAGGATACTATTTCCACTTTTGAATCGGAATAAGATAAGAGCTGCACCAGGACAATGATTGGCTTCCAACATTCTTACTTCCACCCCCTCAATCACATGTGTTAAACCGATCTGTAAAGGACATATCCATCTGCATCACACCAGAGTCTCAAACTTAAAATGAAGCGTAAAACCCACCAGACAGTCAACCTCATATCTCCATTTTCTTACTGAATGACGATGGCTATTGGCTTTTGGTAAGATAAATAGTTCAACAACCATCATACCGTGGATCGACGTAGAGGCAAAGGACACACAGACGTGCAGTGACAGGTGTGCAATAGATGGGTCCGTGACTCCAGGCCTTCGTCAACCCTCCATAGTGATCATAGTGAAAATGTGTGAGGAAGTAAGCAGAACAGCCCTCCACTTCGCCATATTTGAAGGCATCCACAGTGAAAGAAGTTCCTGCAAGGCGTATAATTTCATCGGTTTCAGAGAAGTGTGAAATCCACAAAACATTTGTAGTTGCCCACGATACGTTTGGTGGTTCCTTTGAGAACCACCAAACGCAGTGAGCGTACACTGACAAGAGAGATTTCAGGACCTAGAAATCAGAGAGTCCCATGGGTCTTGCTTCTGAATTGGCATCTCTAGCTGACTAAAAAAAAAAAAATAGAAAAAAAAAAAACCAGAAGGGTATGGAGCTCAACGAGCAAAACCCTGGACACAAACCCATTACCAGGCATCCTCTTGTAAAAAGGGCATTTCCGTACTACCTCAGGCCCTTCGAATTCTCTCTTTCCCCTGCCTTTACGACCTTGAATTTGGTTTGAAACCGCTGGACTAGGCCGTTTGAATTTGGACATAAACACTGCTTCTGCTGCGGGATTTCTTACAATTGGTGGAATTCCGGAAGGTACTCCCACTCCAAAAAGCGCTCGAATGTCCTGTTGTTTCAGTTTCTTGCCACTAGATGTCTGCTCTGGCTTCGGAGGTGCGATTCCCAGGAACCCAAAGAGATTTGTCTGAACCAATTTTCCGGAAACCAACTGACTGGAGGGCTGCTTACTGGAGCGTTTTCTAGCAGTTGTGATCGTATTAGCTTTCCCTGAAGAACTAGTACCGACGTGTGCATCTAAATTCTCTAGATATTCCGTTTTGACTATGCTGTTGTAGACAACTCCAGGTCCACCTGTTTCGATTTTCTCAGTGCTGCTCTCCACCTTCACCAGTATCTCTGCATCCAAAACTTGAGATTGAAATTGTTCTCCCTTCTCAAATCCCAAACCCTCGTCGTCGACTTGGTTGGTTAAAGGCATGCCGTACTCGTCTACTTCATACAGTGAGGTCCAATCATCGCCACTGCTGAAGAAAGACTCCCTGAAGCTCTGGTCGGAAGGCGCTCCATCGAGCTGCCCTTCATCGACATTCCTTTCCACTCCACATTCTTCCTCGTCATAAACCTCGCCCTCTTGCCACCCCATCGCGACCCGGTTACCAAAAGAAGCGGGATGCCGCGAAGTGCAGCACTTGATCGTCAAATTACAAACATAATTGCGACCGCAAGCGGAAAACTACGACCTCTTCTTCGCAAGTGATCCTCGATGACCTCATAACCATCTCCGTTCATCAGAGAGCGTCATACCCATCTCCAGAAATCCACCAATTTTCCACATCTAATTATACATGTCCGTCTAGAATTAACCGCACAAGAATCGTCCTGCGATGGAAGGGAATTCAAGAGATTGACGGCTGCAGAGAGCTGATTTCGGGTCGGAGAACCGAGATCGCCCGACCACCGACAGGGTCTCAGCTCAGATCGATCGACCTTCGGAGTCTAACCTTGGGAGCTCGGGGAGTAAAGAGCAATTACACCCAAAGGTTTTGAATTGGACACTTCCGATCTCCTTCCCTCGCTTCGATTTCGGAGACTTGGATTCGCACTCAAGATTCCCGGTTCGAAATTCCCGTCCCAGTGGCACATCCGATGTGCCTGCCTCGTAGGCACATTGGTACTGTTAAATAAATATATATATATATATATATATATAGGTCAAGTGCACCAAGCCTGCATGTGTTTACTACAGTCACTTCCTCCGGTGTTAATATACCCATACCAGATCTCGTTACCATCTGAGGACGATTTCCCATGTTGGGTTTGACTGGTACTGGTGCGCCATTACATTTAGCAATTCATACTTCTGACGCCAATGCATTCTAATGTCAAGAGAAAATCACAAAGATGTGAACTGATCATTTCGAAGAGAATGTATGTTTCTAAAGTCGTTTTTCAAATAAATTGTATTTGAAGGTACTAAAACCTTCATGCTGTGATTGCTTTGGATATTCTCTTAAATGTGTATTAAAGAAATGTAAAAGCGATTGTAGAGGAGAAAGACATAATGGGTGAGATATTTCAAGAAAATTGGTCTTCTCATATGTTTGGATTATTCTAGTGCTGGTCCGAATGTTCATTGCAATATAAATAAATAAATCTTATATATATACATAAGATTCATCTATCGAGTGTAAGATAGGATGCACGTTTAAATTATAAAAGACGCATTGTACATTGCAATTCGTAAGAATCATGCGCGCTATATGGTTCACATGAATCTACAGTGAGAATAGAGGTTGATCTTTGTTTGCAATATACCGTTAATATAACCTTTAAAAGAAAAAATTGTACCTTGCTAATCTGTTTGTACTCTCACGTACATAATATGACGGTGAAATGCACAAAATATCAACCCCAGAGCTACTTATGAAGTATGCTCTGGGCTGATTAAATTATAAAAGGTAAAAGTTAAAGTTGAAAGTAGGAAGATAATGAATGGATGAGGTAGAGGTTAGAGTAAAGATAATGCCGGTTTACTTTCACTTTTACTCGAGTAATTCTTTAATAATTCCATAATAAGAATTTATCCCTTTTTGTGATGGGTACAACATCCATTTCTATAGATGATGTATATTTTTTGGATTTATGAAAGATATTGGATCTACGGACAAACTTTATATCCTGAAGTCCTTAAATGACATTTTTATGGAGTATTAAGATGTTTTTCCAGATGATCTACCTGCAGTATTACCTTCAAAAAAGGGAGTAGATCACAAGATTGAGATGATACCTGGAAGTACACCAACTTGCAAAGCTCCATATCGTTTGGCTCCGAAAAAATTGGAAGAATGCAAAGCTCAAGTGGAGGAGATGTTGAGCAAGTGATTCATTGCACCAAGTGTTTCACCTTATGGAGCTCTAGTGTGGAAGAAGAAGTATGGATCCATGAGACTATGCATCGATAATCGAGGGTTGAATCAACAAACGGTGAAAAAAAAATATCCATTACCTCGTATGGATGATTTGTTTAATCAACTTCAAGGAGTGAAGTACTTCACCAAGCTAGATTTGAGAAGCGGCTACAATCAAATTTGAATTTCAGATGAAGATGTCCACAAGACAACTTTTCGTACTAGGTATGGTCACTTTGAGTATCTAGTGATGCCTTTTGGTCTCACTAATGCACGAGTTACATTCATGGGATTGATGAACGATATCTTTCGCCCTTATCCAGATAAATCAGTAATTTTTTTTCTAGATGATATATTGGTCTATAGCAAAACTTTAAGTGATCATAGAAGTCATTTACGAGAAGTATTTCAAGTTTTGAGAGACAATCAATTTTATGCCAAAGCTTCAAAGTGTGAATTTGGCAAGTTAGAAGTATATTACTTGGGTCATAGAGTTAAAGCTGCACAAATCCAAATGATGAGTGAGAAGATAAATGCTATTTAGACATAAACAGCTCCTAATGATCAAACTCAATTGAAGAGTTTTCTAGTGCTCACTAGATTCTATCTTAGATTTGTGAAATGTTTTGCTCGCCTAGCTCAAGCCTTAACTTCCATGTTAGGGAAAGGTCAAAAATAGAGAAGGTGAACAATTCAACAGTTAGCTTTTCAAGCATTGAAGGATGCTTTATTACACGCACCTATACTCAAGTGGTATAATCCTAACCGCCCTATCAAGTTGCCTACTGACGCATCAGGTATAACAGTTGGTAGCATACTTCAACAAGAATGTGAGGATGGATGACATCCAGTTGCTTTCTATTCTCGAAAGTTGGTGGCGGCGAAACAAAATTATCACACGACTCAATGGGAGGAATTAACCGTGTTGGCAACCAAACATTAGAAGCATTACTTGGGTGATAAGGAGTTTGTGGTGAAGACCAATCATAAACCCTTGGTTTATTTGTAAAACTCAGAAGGATCTGTCCAAACGACAAATTCGATGGGCAGAGTGGCGTCAACGCTTCAAAATGAAGATTATGTACGTGGAGAGGAGGAATCAACTTGCAGATGCTCTCACACACATGCCTTGTTTGAATCATGTTGAAGAAGTGAAAATTCAAGCTGATTTGTGGAGCAAGATGACACAAGCCACAAAGGAGTATGAAGAGATCACTCGGCCACTACAAACTAGAAAGTCGAGAAATCTTGAGGTTTGGCGTTCCATAAATAGCGTATATGGATTCCACAAGATCAAGATTTGTGCACAGTGATTTTAACCAAAAGTCATGACACAACCATTGCAGGTCATGTGGGAGTGAAGAAATCCATGAAGAGTATACAACGAGTGTACTATTGGCCCAAAATACGTGAGGATGTGGAGTCTTATGTTCGAAGTTGTGTTGCTTGTCAACAAAACAAGGCAAGTAATAAAAAACCGGCAAGTTTATTACAAACTCTTCTTATTCCCAAACATGTCATCATGGATCTTGTATGTGAGCTACTGTAACACTAGGGTTTAGAGAGAAGCTCACTCGAAGATAGAAACGTAAACTCTGAAGATGAGAGATACCAACAATGGTTCTCCTCTCCCTTATATAGCTCTCATCAACAAGTACAAGGTGATAAGATCTAATCCCCACCATCCATCCCAATCCTAGTGGATGGAGGACGTGGCGGATAACCCTAACAAGCACACGGATCATTGACGTGGCGCACCCAACTAACACACTAACTAACACACTCAATCCTTACCTACAAGCACACGGATTGCTGACGTGGCACTGTCAACTAACACATCCACTCTGTACCTACCAAGTGCGCGGATCGCTGACGTGGCAGCTATGACTAGTGCACACTAAAGTATCTACATCAATATTTAGAGTAACCTCTACTTTAGTTCTAACTAACCAAAAGATGGTTACAAACCTCCCTCCTTTTAAGATGCAACGTCCTCGTTGCACATACGTTCAAACTCCTTAACTATCAAATGTGCATTTGCTAAATTTTTAGCTGGTTCCCAAGTTGATTCATACGATGGATAGCCTTTCCATTGAATCAAATACTCTACTTTGGGATATTTATGACCTCAAATACGTTTCTTGAGTATCTTTTCTACCCTAAACTCCTCATGATCTGCTATCAAGGTTGGAAGAGGAGGTGGTGCTGGTTGGTTGGTGAATTGTTTTGGTCGTGGTACATGTTTTCGCAATCGTGACACATGAAATACTTGATGTATTTTCATATGTGACGGAAGTTCCAACTTGTATGACACTTCACCAACACGCTTCAAAACCAAAAATGTATCAATGAACCTAGGGTTTAACTTTGGTGTTCCTACAAGAGACAAATTCGTTGTAGATAATCAAACATGATCTCCAACCTCAAAAATCACTTCTCTACGATGAGCATCGGCATGCTGCTTTTGCCGATTTTGAGCTATCACAAACTTCTCCTTGGCCTGATGTAGTCCTCGATGAATATGCATTACGAATTCGTTGACTGCTGCAACTTTGGTCGAAAACTCCTCTCCTTTGGGAAGTCTCATCAAACTTGAAGGAGTTATAGGATGAGCTCCATACATAAGAAAAAATGGAGACACTTTTGTGGATGCATTAACAGAATTGTTATATGCAAATTCCACAAGTGGCAAAAGGTTGTCCCACTCTTCTTGCTCTTCTAATGTGAATGCTCGTAGCATATACTCTATGGTTCTATTTGCCCTCTCAGTTTGTCCATCAGTTTGAGGGTGATAGGCCGTTGACATTGCTAGTTTTGTTTTGAAAAAACTAAACAAAGTTTTCCAAAATAAACTAGTGAAGTGAGTACTTCTATCCGTGATTAACACTTTGCTTAAGCCATAATTCACAAAAACTGCATCTAGATACAATTGAGCTAGTTGTGGAGCTGTTACTATTTTTGTGGTTGGCCTGATGTGAATCATCTTGCTCATTTTGTCCACAAAAACCACCACTAAATCATGTCCTAACGAAGTCTTTGGTAACTCACATACAAGATCCATGGTGACATGTTCCCACCGCTGTTTGGGAATAGGAAGAGGCTGTAATAAACCCGCTGGTTTTTGATTACTTGCCTTGTTTTGTTGACAAGCAACACAACTTTGAACATAAGACTCCACATCCTCACGTATTTTGGGCCAATAGTACACTCGTTGTATACTCTCCACGGTTTTCTCCACTCCCACATGACCTGCCATGGCTGTATCATGACTTTCTGCCAAAATCATTGTGCACAAATCATGATCTTGTGGAATCCATATACGCTGATTGTAAAACGCCAAACCTTGAGATTTCTCTGCCTTTCCAGTTTGTAGTGCCCGAGTGATCTCTTCATACTCCTTTGTGGCTTGTGACATCTTGCTCCACCAATCCACCTGAATTTTCACTTCTGCAACATGATTCAAACAAGGCATGCGTGTGAGAGCATCTGCAAGTTGCTTCTTTAACTCTACGTACACAATCTTCATGTTGAAGCGTTGACGCCACTCTGCCCATCGAATTTGTCGTTTGGACATCCTTCTGAGTTTCCAAATAAACCAAGGGTTTATGATCAGTCTCCACCACAAACTCCTTATCACCCAAGTAATGCTTCCAATGTTTGGTTGCCAAAACGATGGCTAACTCCTCCCGTTCTGTCGTGTGATAATTTTGTTCCGCTGCCATCAACTTTTGAGAATAGA